GACTCTGCTCGAAGGAGTTAACTGTGGAAGGCTAGAGTAGCTGTGATAAGCGTAGAGATACTTGAGATGTTAGGGAGACTAGAGGTTAGTACTGGTAGTTAATGTGTTCCAGGTTGTGGTTGTCACCGAATTTTATAGAATGTGTCTGTGTTTGAATGCATAATGTGATGAAAAGCTTGACTGTGAATGTTTCATGATTTGGTTGAGCATGATGTGTGTGTGTTGATCCTTTAATAAGCATGACACATTGTTCGTTGATAAGTGTGCTGTTTGTGCGTGACCCTTCAGATAAGGGCTGCTTACTGAGTACTGTGGTTGTACTCATCCCTCTTTTCCCCTCCAGTTTGCAGGTATCGAGCTAGCTCTTAGGATGGTGATGGCGAGGAGGAGGCTTGATCGGAAGGACCATTAGCTTTGCTGCGTGGAATTAATTTCTTTTAGTTAGGATAGTTGTGGCCATTTAATCCTGTAGTTGAGTTGGTAGTGGTTGGTTTGGTTTAGTTCTATTGTCTAAAGGATGTTGTAAGGTTGCCGATTCATTATTCTTTTAAAGCATTAATTTTGTTAGCCTATTGAACTACGGGATTGTAATCTACTTAGGATATTTATGAATACATTTGTTTAAGTTGATCGTACTTGAATTAGCTTTTGCTTCATTGCCATTCGAGATGTTAATATTCATTTAGTGGATGGTCTATAGTTAGTAAGGTTTCCTTGAAGGGTTTGGTTAATGTGAAGTCGGTATTAAATGGTTTATCTGTATAGGATGTGAGTTTCTCTTAAAACATTAGTGTTGTTGTTCTAATTGTTCAAGCTCTCGTGAGTGTTGGAAATCAAAGTAGCGCAGCAGAAGCGTGGTAGTTTTATTGCTTAGTGTTGGTGTGAAGAAAATTCTCTTGTTTATGCGAAAATTTTAGGTAGGCTTAGTAACGGTCCCTGTTTGGAAATGGTGAAATTCCTGGGGCGTTACAGTGTTAGATTGGGACTCCCGTTTCACGTCAACGTTTTGGCGGAGTTTGCATAAAGCTCTGGGGATACGACTCGATTTCAGTACGGCGTTTCACCCTCAGACCGATGGCAAGACCGAGCGTCTAAACCAGGTTCTGGAAGATATGTTGAGGGCTTGCACATTGGATTTCGGTGGTTCTTGGGACAAACACCTGTACTTAGCAGAGTTTGCATACAACAACAGTTATCAGGCGACCATTGACATGGCCCCATATGAAGCGTTGTATGGGAGAAAGTGTAGGTTGTCGGTGCATTGGGATGAGGTCGGTGAGAGAGTCTTGTTGGGACCAGAATTTGTACAAGAAACTAATGGTGCCATCCAAAAGATTAGAGCAAGAATGGAGACGGCCCAAAGCAGACAGAAGAGTTACGCTGATGTTAGGCGAAGAGCATTGGAATTTGATGTTGGTGACCACATTTTCCTTCGTGTGGCACCGGTGAAGGGAGTCCTACGTTTTGGTAAGAAGGGAAAACGTAGTCCAAGATTTATTGGTCCTTTTGAGATCTTGGAGCGCATCAGCCCGGTCGCTTACCGGTTGGCTTTGCCACCGTCGTTGAACGCAGTGCATAACGTGTTCCACGTGTCCATGTTGAGGAAATACGTCCATGACCCTTCCCACATCTTGGATTACGAACCACTGCAGGTAGATGAAACATTGTGCTATAAAGAAGTACCCATTGGGATCGTAGCAATAGAGACCAAAGTGCTGCGGAACCGGGTGATTGACTTGGTGAAGGTCTTGTGGAGGAACCACCAAATAGAAGAGGCTACTTGGGAGAGAGAAGAGAAATCAGGGCCCATTATCCTGAATTGTTCGAGCAACGAACTTTCGAGGACGAAAGTTTTTGAAGGGAGGAAGTCTGTAACGCCCCGCGTTACTCAGGTTAACTTGCCTTGAGTTCCGGGAAATTTTATAACAAAATAGATTTTATTTATTTATTTATTTCATTTTATTTTATTTGATTCATCGGTTATCTTTATTTAATTTAAGTGCGGCATCTCGGCTAGTGTGTATTGTTACAGATTTAGTGGTGAGTTAGTAGCGTGTAGTTATTTATCAAGTTATGGTTTAGTACGGATTCCGCTATGTGACACTTGTTTTGGACCATTGGGCCATTTACGAAATTATATTATTGGCTTGTTTTAACAAGGAGGGGTTGGGTAAGTGGGCCTTAAACAAAAGGAAAAGAACCCAAGCCCAAGGGAGTTAAAGTTTTAAAACAAAGAAAAACCCTAGCCCTTATTCTTTCCTCTTCTTCTTCCTCCCTTTCCCTCTCTTGTTGGAGCCGCCGGCCACCCCCCTACTCGGGTTCTTCTTCTCCGGCGAGCAAATCCGTTCAGGCGACGCGACGAACAGCGGCGACATCGGAGCAG